ATTCTTGGATCAATGACTAATTTTGATGCACAACTTTACTTTACACTGATAGTGTCAACCCATGTAATTGATTTAGTACGAGGGTATGAAAAAAAAACTAGTAATTTCATAGACAAGTTACTAAACCAAAAGAGAAAGGGATCATCACACAGAACTGAAACTATACAAAATCCTTACCTATCACCACCATATTAGCATATTTCAAATGGAACAAAATGAGATACCAAAGTAAAATTAAGATGAACAACTTAATTTGAGCGAAATTCTTCCTTTTCATCATCTACTAATTAAAGGTCTAAAGAGAAAGGACAATAATCCAATCAATTTAAAGTAAAGCAAAAAAATTGTTCTAAAAAAAAAAAGTATAACTTATCTGATAAGCATCGAAACCCAATGAAATAAAATAAAATAAAAATTACTAAAAAAGTACTCTTTTACTTTAATCTCTCCTCATCACTTCATATTTTAGCAAAAACAACTATTAAAAAGGTTTCCAATAAATACCAATTCAACAAATGCATATTCAGCCTATTTTCTTAAAGTTCAAAACTTGTATATGTTCAAATTGCAATTTTTACGTGTAAAGTAAACTCGAAAACTCCTATATCACTCTTTCGAAAAGAATACATCTATAGTGAACAAAAGAAAAATCTCATCAACACCTACATTGAATCATAACAGGACACAAATATCAAAGGCAAAACCAACCAAAAGTAACTGTCGTAAGGGGTTTGACAAATTTAACTGACACAGGTTAAGGTACTCTGAATAAGAGTTGGATGTGAAACAGAATTGAATTACAAGAATAAAAGTAAAAATAGGAAATAGGAAATAGGAAATAGGAAAGTAAATACAAACAAAAGTGTTCCATACTAGATTTTTTTGACGAACCTGGACACAAAAATCATTGTATACAGAAACTCTCAAAATGAGACGCACAAGTCTATTAGGTACCCTTCTTATAGCAAACGTGCTCATGGCAACACGTCTCTCCCTTACTTTCTCTCGTTCCATTCCCCCATTACTCCTAACCCGCACTTCTTGTTCCATTTCAAACCTCAAACAATTCCCCAAATCCCATCCTTGTCCTCTCTGGTCTTCCTCGTTCTCCTTCTGCCTCCATAGACTCCACAAGTCTACTTCTCCTCTTCGCGCTTCTTCTTTTTCTTCTTCTCCCTTCATGGCTGCTTCTTCACCCAACGGCGTCATCGAAGACAACCCTCTTCTGCAAAACTTCGACTTCCCACCCTTCGATGTCGTCGAGCCCAAGCACGTGCGGCCCGGAATTCGCGCTCTCCTCGGCGAGCTGGTAATTATAACAAGTTCGATACTTTTCTCTCATTTTGGATTCTCCGTCGGGATTCGGGAAATGGGTCGGGGCTGATTCGGGTTTTTGGGGCTGGTTTGCATGATGGGGTTTTTCGGGTTTTTGATAGGAACGTGAATTGGAAGATCTGGAACGAAATGTGGAACCGTCGTGGCCAAAGTTGGTGGAACCGTTGGAGAAGATAGTTGATCGGTTATCTGTTGTTTGGGGCATGGTCAATCATCTAAAGGCTGTTAAGGATAGTTCTGAGTTACGTTCTGCTATTGAAGATGTGCAGGTATTGCTTTTAAATTGAAAAATAAATAAATTGGGTGCTTTTTTTAATACGTATTTGGGTATTTTATATTCTGTTTTGTTTTTGTATTAGTATAATTGTTTTTTATACTGTCGGGTTGTAGTGTAACAATTTTTGAGATTTAGTATGTTTTGTTTGGTTGGCTTATAATACATGAGCCATGTTAGAATATGCTATTCAGCTTTTTATATTTGGAAAATGAAAACAGTAGCTTTGGTGTGCTAACGAGGATTGGTGGATTGCTTTCTGTTTGCAGGCAGAGAAGGTTAAGTTTCAGCTTAGACTGGGTCAAAGCAAGCCTATTTATAATGCGTTCAAAGCCATTCGAGAGTCTCCTGATTGGCAGACACTTAGTGATGCTCGTAAGCGCATTGTTGAAAGTAAGTTATTGTGGTATCTTATTGATATGTTGTTGTTGTGATGTGATTTGTTTCAGTACTGCCATGCTTTTACGGTAAAAGTAGCTTGAAATTGCTGTCTGTATCCTAATACTTCTTTTCAGCTTATAGACTTTCATCTAATAAGGTGAAAGACGCAGGGTGTGAAGTTGGTGCAAAATTTTCTGACTTCTGAGTCTACTTAGTCTCCAATTTGATGCTGAGCTTTTTTGGTGCGAAAGAGTTGTCGCCGTCTTCTCTTTAGTGTTTGATTTGTGATATGTAATATCTGTGTGACATTGTCTGTCTTACACGTAGTTGAATACCTTGTATAATCTATACTCTAGGCCATGCTAAATATCAGAATGTTGTTCCATTCACTGATCTCTCAATTTTAAACATGTATTATTTTGAGCCCATCTTTTTACATTTAACTAATAAAAGAATGTGTGTCTTTGCAGGCCAAATAAAGGAGGCGGTTTTGAATGGAGTTTCCCTTGAAGATGATAAAAGAGAAAGTTTTAACAAAATTGAACAGGTGTGCTATTTTAACTACTAAACAAAATTGTAAACTATATCTTTTAGTCACACATGCTATTTGATTCCCATCGTTTAGGATTATCTACTAGGTTTTCTAATCTGGTTATATCTTGATCTTTGTTCTCTATTCTGTGGAAGCAACCAGGCCTATCCTGTTCTCAGTCAAGGGTAGAAATGAAATCTTAATTATACATATTATGAAAATGTGAGTGACAAATAACATAATAGGCAACATGAACTTTGAAAATTGAGAAAGATCCAAATGCAGTATATGGATTTTGAACAGCACTTAGCAATCCGAATTTTATTAGCAGTACATATTTTTGGAAATTGAGAAGAGTGGAGGATTTTGCTTAGTATCCCAACTCCAAATTAAACCAAGTAATAAATTTTTGATTAAATAATTTTTTTTGTGTGCTCAAATTCCAAAAGCATAGTGATCAGACTTCATAACTTAACAATATAATATTTCATGCACTGGTGCTTTTCTCTTAGTTATAATTTTATTTTCTCTCTGGATTTTATCCATAGGAACTGGAAAAGTTATCACAAAAGTTTGGGGAGAATGTTCTAGATGCAACAAAGAAGTTTGAAAAACTAATCACTGATAAGAAGGAAATTGAAGGATTACCTGCTACTGCACTTGGGTTGGCTGCACAAAGTGCAGTAACCAAGGTATATATATCTTACATGTTTTGTATTATTCTCAAGTTGTGACAATCAGTTATGTTTTTGAGTTTTGATTACTTAATGGGCAAATGCAGGGGCATGAAAATGCCACTGCTGAGAATGGGCCATGGGTAATTACATTGGATGCCCCTAGTTTTATTGCTGTTATGCAACATGCTCGCGACCGATCTTTGCGTGAGGAGATATATCGTGCATATGTTTCACGGGCATCTACTGGAGATTTGGATAATACAGAAATAATAAATCAAATTTTAAAGCTAAGGTTGGAAAAGGCCAAACTTCTCAACTACAATAACTATGCTGAGGTATGATTCATGTGCCATATTATGAACACAACCCAGTTGTAGGTTGCTTATGTATAAATCATATATCAGGTTAGCATGGCAACCAAAATGGCAACTGTTGATAAAGCCGAAGAACTTCTTGAAAAGCTTCGCAGAGCTTCCTGGGATCCTGCAGTGCAAGGTAGTGTGTATAAAATGTGTTTGTGATTGTGTTTGTATAAGACTTTGAGTTGTATATCCTTTTATTATATATTCATGAGGATAATGCATTGCATTTAAGCTTTCTAGAATTAGCCTTTCATTGTCGTTGAATATTCTAAAATAGCAAAAAGTAGATGTTGTTTTGGAAGGATTCTAAATGGCCAACTCATGATAGTTCTGACATATATGCACCATGGGAGACTGTATTGTCTATTTAAAATTTGTTTTTTTATATAGATGGTCTCTTCCTTCAATCATGAAATAAGTTAGGTGTTGCATCTTTCTTTGCAGATATTGAAGACCTTAAGGAATTCTCCAAAAGTCAGGATGCATTAGAAGCTAGTGATTTGACTCATTGGGACATTACCTTTTGGAGTGAGAGGCTACGCGAGTCAAAATATGATATTAATGAGGTTTCTCTATTGCACTATCTCAGTTATGGTTTAGAAAGACAAAAAATAAATAAATTAAGAATGTTATATTAGAGAATTAAGAAATATAGAACGATTAGAAGAAAGATCTTCATTATTTAGTATCAAATACATTGTTCATGTATGGAATTACTCATGGAATCAATACTTTTTATACAACTATTTTATTATTAGCTGTTGAATTGTTATGATTTACAATAAGTTTGAATGCTTTTTTCCTATGGTAAAGTAACAAGAATATATCATCGGCCTGCAAAATATTTGACTGTTGTAAATTATCCATTGATGTTTGTTTTAAAATATTTAGATTGTTTAAAGTTTCATATTTCACAGTTAGGCTCATTGCACATTTTAAATTATCGAAGCTATTATTTGTATTCATGTCAATTGCCAAGAAGCGTTTATTCTTCTCACAGTCCTACCCTCTAATTACAGTTTATGG